CAAAAGTGTTGAACACCCATAACTCCTTTTGAAGACCGTGGGAGCTGTGGGTTCTCAGCACTTCTATATAAATAATATTTCCAGGGTTGTTTTATTTAGTCCCAGTTTGGGCTGTGTCTACTCACTGCTCTCTAGACACTATCACATAACTTGAAAGATATTCCAAATTACTGTCACAGCCACACTAGCAACTGTGGAAAATGACCCATACTCATCCCTCTCAAACATGTCATTTTACTTTCAGATTGATAGTAATTTTGCAAAGCTGTATGGTTCTTCACTTTTATTATGATATATTATATCAGCAATGTCAATTTATTAAACTGAAACTGACACTTTTTAAGTAATAAGCCTGTGTAATTTAAAGCTTCTCATTCTCTTGGACTCTTAGCTTCATCTGTAATTTTGAGTATTGGTCCCACTCCCAAGGGTTCAGATCTGGAAAATGTCTATCTGGATCTGGTCAAAATATTTGTGGTAAAAAATGTATCTGACAAATTGAGAAAGGTTAGTGTGTAACAGCTTAATCCTCTGAGATACTGAGCACTCCCAATTCACACTGAAGCAAGTAAAAGTTAAGTGCACTCAGCACCCCCACATGACTGTGTCCTAAATTGCTATTTCTAATTACATACAAAACTTGAATGACTCAAGTTGCTTTAGTCATGGAAGGGGCCCCAGGGACCTTAGAGATAGTAGACAGAAAAGTTGTTAAATTGCTTAACAGACCAGGTTTATTTCCAAATTTGCCTAAATCGAAGAAAAAAACTAACAAGATTACAACATGCGGTTGGTAAATCTTTTCTGGTGTACTGAGCCCTTTGGTCATGCTAAAACCTGCATTGTGTCTGCCCTGCCAATTTTATTCATTCAACCACTTAACACTATTTCAGTGCCGCTGGAAGGGTGATTGCCACACACATTTAGACCCTGCGGCAACTCTAGAAAACAATGGAATGAGGATCATAGTAAAATGTAGGCTGGGAAAGTGTTACTGACAAACAATAATAATGTCAGCCTTGGCCAAGCTTCAGACTCAGCCTAGAAGCAGGATTTTAATTATTATTATTATTATAACACTTAACATTTACCTAAGGCTTTTTTATCCATGGATCTCTTAGCACTTTTAATACCCCATTTTACAGATGGGGAAAAATGAGGTATATAGAAGTCAAGTGACTCACCCAAAATACTGTTACTTAACTTTAAATACATTTATAAAATAAAACCCAGTGTTAAATATTTTATGCGTCTTCTGCTGGTTCCACTGTAGTCAGTGGCAAACTTCCCTTGTCTTCAGTGGAAGCAGAAGCTAGCAGAATACGGTGTAATGTTAAATACAATTTCGGAGAACAGTAGTAACTGATTTAGAACGAGTATACTATTGAGCTGGAAGGAACACACTATCAATTGTTAATAGCCACTGTGATCCCAATCCCCTGCACCCATGAGAATGAGGAGTTTTGCCACTGATTGAGCTGGGAGCAGGACTGGGCCCTACATTTCAATCTGTTTTAGACTGGAGAGATAAGGAAGAGCTGACAGTTATGAACCTATTAAAGATTCAAAATCTGAAAGTCATAACACATTTTATAATAGAGCCACAAAGTATCAGATAGGCCTCTGTAATATTATCAGGCAGAGGCATGAGCACAAAGTTCCGGTACAAACTTCTCTGTAATTCATCAAGTGTTTTCGTTTGCGACCATCTTTTAAACATGATTTCACCTTAACCATAACTAGGGATGCAAATGACTTAAGAGTTTGTATCCATTTTTCTCTTTGATTCTCTGTTTATCACACTGAGAATTTTTTATCACTCTTCAGGATAGAATTGTTCTGATTTGTCTTATAAATATATGCACTGTACTTACTATGCACATGGAAAAAGCAATCACTGCATTTTTACTTAAAAAAAAATGTGTAGCCTTAAAAGTGCAAGTAAAAACATTTTGAAAAGTAAACAAAGTTTTACTACCTGCAACGATCCAAGTTCAGGGTTCCAAGTCTCTCCCACAGCAGCTGACGACAACCACCTCAGTGCAAGGGAGCACAAAAGATCTGAAGTGTTCTTGATGCCCTCAATTCTGGCAGAGAACACAGAATTCAGGTCTGGAAAGGTAAGTAAAAAAGGAAAGGATTTTATATTATTTTGCTTTCGAAGAGTTATTTGTCATCGTTAATAACTATTTATTTAGAAAGTTTTAATAGGTTTACAAAAATTTGTTGTGTAAATCTCAGAAACAAAACTTACACTGAGCTTATCTTTTTGTTTAGAGAAACGTTATGCAGTAATATAATCATCAGATCACTCTGTTTAACAGGGTATTTGTCATTTTAAGCCTATCCATGTGTGTTTATTGTTTTTAAGTTCTTAAAGAGATTTTTTGTTTATTTAAAAGCATTCTGGTTGTCTTTTAAAAATAGAACTAGTATGTTTATGTCAACATTCTTTTGCTGGGTTGTGATGCAAACAGCAATACTAATAAGAAAGTGAAACTGACCAGTAGTAATACACCTCTACCCTGATATAACGCGACCCGATGTAACATGAATTTGGATATAACGCAGTAAAGCAGTGCTCCGGAGGGGTGGGGCTGCTCACTCCGGCGGATCAAAGCAAGTTCTATATAATGCGGTTTCTCCTATAACACAGTAAGATTTTTTGGCTCCCGAGGACAGCGTTATATCGGGGTAGAGGTGTACAGTAATATTTAGCCCACACAGGGCTCTTTTCATATAAACATCTCATTGTACGGTAGCATCACCAGCCACTGTGGCATAGGAAAAAGTAGAGTTCTGAATGGTGAAATGGAAATTAGATTTTGAAAATACATTTAAAACAATCACCACTGAAGATTTTACTAGTAACACAGGGAGGGATTTGGAACTTTTAATATGATTTTTATCTTGAGATCATCCCATTAAAAACATGTCTAGTGTGAAAATGCAACTATAAATGAAACTGGAGCACAGAGAAGTATCTGGCCCAAACTTTTTAAAAATTGTTCCTTCCCAATATACATCACAAATTTTGGAAACCTACTTCCTCATACCACTTTAAAACTCTCTTATGGGAATGATAGCCTCCTTTATAAAGCACTATGAGATCTAGGGATGAACTATGCTCTATAGAAGTGAAGTATTCATTATTATTGTTGCTGCTGTACATACAAGCTTTCCCCACTATCTTAAAAAAAATAAACCCCCTCTGACCTTATCGATACTTAAAACAAAGCTGGCTTGGGTATCTAGAACACAAGTTATTTGAAAAGCAAGGACTAATCTTAGATTCATTAAAAACATACTATCCTTCATTCTACGATCAAATTAAACAGTAGGTGGACATTTGATCTTTGAAAAAGGAGAAATTTTAGCTGAAAAGGTTATTTCAGCGCCACCTTGTGTCAGAAATAGAAAATTCGAGTTTCTAACAATTGAGCTGTTAGCACATGCGGGGTTACCTAGCTTACTGGTGAAAGTGGCAACCTAGCATTCTGGTTAGACTCCCAGTTATTGCCAGATGGTCAACTTTCCATGGTAATCAAGACACTGTTTTTTCCATTTGGCTAAGAAAGTGAAACTTTTTCCTTCTGATGTAGGCTATATCACCGCAATTCATAGCTTTGCCATCTTCAGACTAGAGATACTACGTTTGCGCCACAGCTCAAGAGCCGAGAAGCGGCTGCACTTTGGCTAGGTCTCCTCCTCAAATCCATCCAGAAACTAAAGCTAGTGTAGAATGTGGCAGCCCAGTTGTTAATCCTACTGTGAGCATATTGCACTGATGTTTCATAATCTTCACTGGCTGTGTGGGGATTTCTGGAAAGAGTTTATGGACCTGCCTTCCTGAGATGCCTTCCCCCTCCCCCCCCACCCCCATGCAACACTGTCACATGGGAGATTCCTACAGCACTTAGAACACAGCCCTACAATTGTAAAAAGGGGGCTGCTGGCAGGGCATTCTACAGAGGGCCCTTTTCTTGTGGGATTGCACTCATCCTGCCCTTAATCCAAAATGGCCCAACTCAGCTGACCTTCAGGGCACATTGTAATGCTCATTCTTTTAAAAGACCTTTTGGGGAAAGAAGTTTTATTGGAGGGAGGATGTGATCTTTATTTTATTTTATCTAGGCTATACGGTGTATTTAGCGATTGCTATTCTTTGAGAACCAGCAGCAACCCTACATTTTGCTTACTCTGTTTTTAAGTCAATTGTCAGGGGGCAGAATGCGAGAGCGCTCACTTCTTGTAGTTTCACAAATTTAAATAAAAAGACTCTACACTTTACATTACTCAAAAGCTCATTTTTACACTTGTAAATACACTTGTCCCAGTTTGGGGGCCCAATTTTAGTCAACAGCGTCCATTTAATCCTGCAATACCTGCTGAGCCAATAAACTGTTGATCAACCCTAGTCATCTTGTTTAATCTCCTAATTCTAGAAGGTTCTTGGATACTATGGTGATGAGCTCACTATAAGAACCTAAACAGAACAGAATAGAATCTAGCGTGTATCAGGCAAGTGAAAGACTTCCTCTCAGTCTACTCAGGCAGCTACATTATCTTGTTTAGGGCAGTGAAATTCACCCAGGTGTGGCAAAATTCTTATTTACCAGTTACACCCATTCAAATGCTTAACATGGGACTTATCCTTATGTGGTACATTGGGCCTCATGCAAGCCCTATGCACTGAGGGGAAATTATATCCATAGATAAAGTTTATTCAGGTCAAACAGTAAGCAAATCCTGCACCTCTATTAACTGGATCAGAGCAATTACTAATCTAGAAACGGATCAAACTGCAATGAATAAACAGCCTCATTTTTAACTCTCCTTATAAATAATCAATATTCAAACATAGTGAGTTTTAAACAGGAATTGGTGCCGTTACAATACGAATTTGGGCGCTTTACCAACCAATGCAACCCCACAGGATTTATGAGTGAAAGCAGCAAGAGTGAAAAGGATTTCACGAATATTGTATTCATGTCAGCATTATGGACACAATATTGGTGTTTAGTTTACTGTTTATATACCACAGCCTCAGCCCAAAAGGTAAGTGGACTGTTTTTAACAGAACAAAACCAAAAAGTATACCGGGGACACAGACATGTCATATATTTATAAATTATGTTTATTAGTTAATGTTTAGGTACTGCTCTGAAAATGTCACTTATTAAAAGCTTTTAAAAAAATGAATGAGAAAAAAAAAAACAGTAGAATTTGGATTGCCAGCCATACCACCTCCCATACTCAAAGCATTTCAAAAACTTTCTAAAGACACTCACAAGTAGGCTGGCCACATAGGGAATATGCAACAGCAGTTCTACTCTCAGCAGTATCATTATTTTGACCATTACACCCTCCACCCCTGTCTTTTTAAGAGAGAGCATGCATTAGTTATCTCCTTATGCTTTCAAATAGTGCTGTAAGAGCTTTCAACTTCCCTCACTGAGTCACTAACAGTAGTCAGAAGGGATATTTCTTGTTTAACATACCATTTCAAGGCTGACACCTCCACCTAAGGTATTTCGAAGCTGCCAGTCACCATGGTACCTCTGTGCCAATGAACTGATAACTATTTGTGTGAATAAAATTTTTCCTGTATACTTACTTATAGCCTCAGACTTATGCAAAAAAACAAGCAATACCACCTCTACCCAATTTAAGCTACAGCAGGAATTTGGCTGGGCAGAACTGAAATATAAATGTGACAACACACCCCTACTCTTTTAGAAAGGGTTCTGGGGTCACTAAGGAATTTTTATATTACTATTGATTTGCACTTCTAGCACAGTTCAGTTCCCTCAGATTAACAGTGATGGTAACTAAACTACAATACAAGCAATCTTAGGACCAAGCATAGCAAATAACTCTCCTGACAGTATCAGTGTTCTCTCTTGGTTTTTAATTTTATTTACTCATGGTGGTGGGTAGTATTTTGGTTTCACACTTTTATGATCTATAACATTGTAAAATATTTTGGGAATGGTGTGTACGTTAGAGCTCAAGCAAAACTCTTGGCTCGGAACACATACGCATAGCAAGTTTGAGGAAAGTTCAGCTCCGGATATAAATTTTAACTCACTTCCACTGCTACGGCATGCTGATCCAAGACCCCAGATCCACACACTTCTCCCCCACCCCTGAAATTCACTGCAAGTTTAAGTCATGATTTAGACTTTACTAATCAGAGCAACTCTAGTCGCTATTAAAGTCGCAGTGAAAAATAAAGAGAGGAGTTGCATTTAACATTTTTTAAAATCCACAAAGAGGCAAGAAAGAAACTGTGCACGATTACAATCTAGTAATCTGTCATGTCCATTCCACTCAGACCTCAGAGATTATGACTGTCATGTGGAAAATTCTTCAGAAGTACTGTCTGAAAGCACAAGAAGCATGAGCATCTTACTGCAAGGTAGGGAAGCAAAGGCAGAGGGGAGGGAACTCCAGTTAGTCAGAAGAGCAAGGTAAGAGCAAAGGGGGATTCATTTATTAGAAATATAGATACATAGTTTGTTATGATCAGGAGAATCACATGGTAAATTGCCTGCCTGGTGCAAAGACTGCAGATCTCAAGAGATATCTAGACAGACTTATGTGCAGTGCTGGAGGCCAGCCATTGGTCATGGTACAGGTAGGTACCACTGGCATAAGGAAAGGTAGGAGGGAGACTGCTAGATAAGAGAGAGAAGTCTAGGACCTCCACAGTAGCATTTTCTGAAATGCTTCCAGTTTCACACAGGGTGAAAGACAGGCAGAACTGCAGGGTCTCAATGCGTGGATGGGACAATGGTGTAGAGAGGAAGTTTTCAGGTTTATTAGGAACTAGGGAACCTTTTGGGAAAGGAGGAACTTATTCAGGAAGGATGGGCTCCATCTAAACCACAAAGAACCCAATTGCTGACCTGTAAAATTAAAAAAGGTTGTGGAGGATTTTTTTAAACTAAGGGGTAGGGAAAAGGCAACTGGTGTGGAGTACATGGTTCAGGCAGAGACATCCCTTAGCAATTAATTTAATGAAGGCAAGCAGGCACACCAGCACTATGGGCTACACTAATCAAAAGGATAGGAAAGAATTTGGTAAAGTACAGGTAAGAGCTTGTGAGGAGGAACAGTCAAATGTAATAGTCCCATTTACATGCAACACATGAAGGCAAGCCGCAGAATATTGACAAAATTTACAAGTGCTTATATACAAATGCTAGAAGTCTGAATACTAAGTTGGGTCCCTGGTGTTAAATGTGGATATTGATATAATAGGCATCCCAGAAACTTAGTGGAATGAGATTAATCAATGAGACAAGGTATTACCAGGGTACAATATATATAGTCATAGAGTAGGTCATGCTGGAGGGGGAGTGGCACTATATGTGCAAGAAAGCATCGAGTCAAAGACCCTCAATAGACAGAAATGCCATGCTTGAACAATAAGTATAACAGTAGAAATATACTACTGACCACCTGAGCAGGATGGTGGTGGTGACTGTGAAATGCCTTCTCAGTGACAAACCTGGGGAACTGTCCCAGATGGAGGTGTTAATAGAGGCTTTTGGAACAAACTGATAAATTAAATAGTAATAAGTCACCAGAACCAGATGGTATTCACCCAAGAGTTCTGAAGGAACTCAAATATGAAATTGCAGAACTACTAACGGTATGTAAACTATTGTTTAAATCAGCCTCTGTACCAGATGACTGGTGGATAGCTAATGTGACACCAATTTTTAAGAAAGATTCTGGAGCTGATCCTGGCAATTACAGGCCTGACTTCAGTACCATGCAAACTGGTTGAAACTATAGTAAAGAACAGAATTATCAGACACATAGAAGAACACGGTATGTTGGAGAATAGTCAACACGTCTTTTGTAAAGGGAAATCATGCCTCCACAATCTATTAGAATTCTTTGAAGGGGTCAACAAACATGCAGACAAGAGAGATCCAGTGGATATAGTGTACTTGCACTTCCAGAAAGCCTTTGACAACGTCTCTCACCAAAGGCTCTTAAGCAAAGCAAGCAATCATGGGATAAAAGGGAAGGTCCTCACATGGATCAGTAATTTGTTAAAAGATAGGAAACAAAGGGTTGGAATAAACAGTTTTCACAGTGGAGAGAAATAAACTGCAGAGTCCCCCAAGGATTGTACTGGGATCTGGAAAAAAGAATAAATAGTGAGTTGGCAAAGTTCATAGATACAAAATTACTCAAGATAGTTAAGTCCAAATCTGACTATGAAGAGATACAAAAGGATCTCACAAATCTGGGTGACTGGGCAACATATGGCAGATGAAATTCAATGCTGATAAGTGCAAAGTAATGTACTTTGAAAAACAATCCCAACTACCTATACAAAATGATGGGGTCTAAATAAGCTATTACCACTCAAGAGAGAGATCCTGGAGTCATTGTGAATAGTTGTCTGAAAACATCCGCTCAATGTGCAGCAGCAGTCAAAAAAGCTAACAGAATGTTATGAACCATTAGGAAAGGGATAGATAAGACAGAAAATGTCATGCCACTCGATAAATTCATGGTACACCCATACCTTGAATACTGCATGCAGTCGAGGGGCAGCACAGTTATCACAAAAATATAACTACAATGTTAGACTGGATACGAAATGGGCAATTACATTAAATAAGCATTTTTGTGGCGTTTTAAAAGAAGAAAAGTTAGTTCGTGAAAAGAACCCCGGGGAATTATTTACACACACGAACGGAAAATCTGGTCAGTTTTTTCCTCACTGTAATATTAACAGTTATGTGTCTCTGTGCTTGTGTGGTACCACAATGTTCATGACTAATCTTGATGGCCTGAATCTTGTACAAGAGAAATTGTAAATAATTTAGGACAAGGACTTCCTCGTAGTTATATTTTTGCTTTCCTGTCTCCAGAGTCTGAAAAGACAGTGGCAAAAGGGGAGCTAAGGAGAAACCATACAGTCGCCACTTTGCAATGCTCTGGTCTGCACAGCTCCATACAAGTAAATCTTCTTTACTCAGAGAAGATGTATAGTGTTTTCACAACCAAGCCAAATGTTAAATACACCCTCCAAAGCCTGAAAGTCATCACTGATCCAGATGAGAGTGTTTCTACTGCCCACAGCTGTCTCTTATTAACAGATCATAAACAAAGTTTTCAGACTGAATTTAACCTTACAGGCAAAGGTAAAAAACAAAAATATTTGTTCATTATAGCATATTTCTATTAGGTATGTCAAAAATGTCATCTTAGGCTTTGTCCCACAAACAGTTGATACCTTCCCAGCAACAAAAGTGTTTATGAAAGCAAAATATTGATATTGATATATTTGTAAAAAAATACTGCAGTATTATAAAGTAATGATCCAAACACTGAGTAACAGTATTGTAAGACATAGTTTTGTGGACAATTACTGTAGGATGTTTTGTTTATTTTCCAATACATATAGATATTTATATAAATAAGATATGGAGATGGGAAACCACTTAATTGTGCAATACTGAACATTCAGGAAAGAAATATTCCTCCTGGATTTCAGTAGCAGTCAGCATAAAACCTGATTACCATGACCATAACCATGTATAACTATGATAACTATTCATCGTACAATAAGCCAGCTCTTTTGGGAAAATGAAAAGAAAATCAAAAGTAGAATATTCAGCACAGAGGAGTGAACTACAGGCTGTTTGGTTTTTCCCTTTGTTCCAGGGATCTTCCAGTAGATTTTAGAAAGCTCATTCTGTATCAAACCACACACGCAAAATTAGTTGGTTTTCTTTGTAAAGGTTCCAGCTACAGTAATTCCTACAGAATTTGGGAATTCTGTTGTAATGCAGTAGTCCACACACAGTTAAACATGACAGTGTCATGTTTTAACTGTGACCCCAAATTGCAATACAGCCCTGCAAAAGCCCACGTGTGTAGCATAATTTGGCAACTCGTCTAAAACACAGTAAACACTCAACTGCACTGCAAAATTCTGTGTTCTAACCATGTCAGCACTCTACCATGCTGTAACATGGTCCCTCAAGATGGATGGAATTACAGTGTCAACAGGACAAAAGGTCAACCATATTGAGACTGACGACACTCCTTACATTGTGCCCACAGTTTAGCTAAAAGCTAAGGCTTTGATGACCCAACCTTGAATAACAATTTAAACTCTGTTGTGGATCAAAAGGCTTCTAAAGTTTTGGCCAATCAATAAGCATGGGGCCCAAACATATTAGAATATCCATGCTCCAGCCTACGTCCCTCCCTTTAACATTGTTATAAACCCAATTCAGACACTAATTCAGTTGTACGGAGCAACTTTCATACACTGTGTATCCCAAAAGTGTTTTACAAAGCTATAAGATAGATATGGTTATTGCAGGGACTGTACAGTAATAGTTTACAAACAGTCTTGGACTTCAGAATAGAAATTCTCAAATGAAGGCACATTGGCAAAGACATCTCACTATATTATCATGTCTAACATGATAACATTGCAAGTTACTAGTATTCTGTTGTAAATTGCCTAATATTCTGCCAATTGTTGGCAACTAAGCCAGTGCTTAGTTTACTCTAGTCTTGAGTTGCTTTTGTTCCCTAACTGGTTTATATAAATCAAAAAAAACTGTCACTGGTTTTAAATGTCTCATTCTTTTCACAGTGTTTCTGGTGGGGATAGCAAATTGCATGATTAATGCAAAGCTGTCTGAGCCTGACATTTTTGCAGAGCAAGTGCATTCCACAGCGATACACCAACAGAACAGCAGCTCAGGTAGTAGTAAAGTTTACACACACACACACACACACACACACACACCCTTTTCACAAAGACTACCAACAGTGGTATCTGAAAAATATTGGGCCAGGAGGTTTTCTCAAATTCACACAACTCCTCTTTGTTCTGTAAACTTGCATATTTGTATAGCTGAGCAAAATCGGGGCACTACCTCGCTCATGGGAAATTATGTTCTTGCTCCTATCTCCCAACCAAGCATGAACCAGACCGAGTTCTAAAAGGTTTCATGGAGGCTTTCTAGATTGCTATATTCACATCGTCTTGTGGACATCCTTAAGCGTTAATGAAACGTTCTCTCAGGTTTAACTGTACTGCGTTACTATCCTAAAGATAAAGAAATCCTCAAACTACCAATGGGGAACATGCTGTCTTCTGTATTCATCTACTTCAGAGAGAATGATTTTTTTTCCCTTTCTAATCACAGGCATAGGTGAAGGCATGCTGCTCAGACTAACACAAAGACAAAGCATCTACGTCAAAGCAGTAATCATCTGTGTCCTGTTACCCTGTGTACTAGCCTTCATTGTGTTTGTTATATTTGAAGTTCCCTTCCCAGTAAGTTTACTGAGCACAATAGCTCCTTATGACAATTTGCAAAGGATATTTTATCAATAGCTAAATATGATTTATGTTCGTTCCATTATTATATTAAAACATGCAGGGTTCTGAGTTTAAGAAACCCCAAGGGCAGTGATACAAAGGTAAATTCTGTGAGATCATGCCTTTAAAAGATTTGCTAATCTTTGTGATGCACTGGGGTAACCACTTCTCTAGTGGGAGGTCTTATGACCTAAAATGCCATAATTCAAACTCTGCCAAAACGAGCAATTCCTCACACTTAGTATGAATACCTACAATGACATGTTTTGCCTGTTGCTACTAGGGTATACAATCCCAGTGCACACCTGCAACCTTGCATTTAGATCAAAATGGGGAGGAAACAGTCTTGCAGCTTTCTAAAGTGACACCGATCAAAAGCAACCCTCTTGACTTCAGGAGTAGTCAAGCATTTTCTAAAGGCAGAAGAGGGGAGAACAGAAAAGACTTTCAACAAAACACAGGTTACTGTGGATTCTCTGTAGTTTTGTAGGCCCTAGATTTCATTATTCAATGACCTCCCAAGAGGACATGTGCCATGCTGGAGGTGTTTGGGGTAAAACACACTGGAAGCTGAGATGGTCAATGTGAATTTTTTTTAAAAAAGCCACATTCTTTCTTCCTCTCACACTCTGAAGTGCATACTTCAGTCAAAATTCAGGTTGGTTATTCATTTCTAGGGAGACTATCATTTTACTAGCTTCAAATTCTTGGTATTTTGGGCTAGTAGCACCTTCCTACTAACCTTCTAATGGCTTCTCCTTCTTTTCTGAGTGTCCATGCCCTGGTTGGAGCCAGCAATGCAACTGTATTCAGAAATGTAAAAGACAAGAAGAACGCACAGAAAACCCAAATTCTGTATCATCCGAAGGATCTGTCACGGTAGGTCACCAAAAGGGAACCACACATTTTTTTAAATATAGTTCAGTAACAATTATTTCATTTAACAATACAGATCTCCCTCAATAAAAGTGAACGGCACCATAGTTCTGAAAGTGTGTTATGAGGGTGTCTATTCAAGATGAAATTATGTAATCTTTTTTTCCCCCTGCCTTGTTAAATGAACAACAAAAGAGGTGGGTATGCAATGCTTAGAAAAAGGGCCTCGAGGATTCAGAACAGCTTTGTTTTAATGCCACCTCAGGAACCTACTCACTGTGTGACCTGGGCCAAGTTACTTAACCTCAATGAGTGGCCATTTATTTCTCTATGACATAGTTGTAATACTCACCTCCCAACGATACTGTGAGATTTAGTGTTTGTAAAGTGATTTGAGATCTTTGGAGGAAAACCCCTATACTGTCAAAGAAACTATGTAGAAGAAAGGACTAATAACTGCATTGCATTAAATAGGGAATGTTTCAGTGAGTACAATGTGAAACTCCATTTCACAGATCTTAGAAATGCTTTGATTTTTCATTTTTTTAAAATGTATATTAAGCAGCAACTAAAAGCTGACAGACTCAAAGCAAAGAACATCAGCAAGGACTGGGCACAATTTAGTTTTCAATGGAACATTAGCATAAAAATTTCACATCATTGAATGGTTCAGTCATAGACCAGTCATATAGCTTGTGTATCAATGGCCACTGTTGGAAGACAGGATATTGGGCTAGCTGGACCTTTGGTCTGACCCAGTATGGCCGTTTTTATGTTCTAATGGAACAGAATGCTATGGGTTTTATCCTGAATACAGAGGGAGCCATTCATACCAGACTTGGATATAGTGAAGTAAAATGAATGGCCCAAATTGTTTCAAAGCATAACAATATGCCAGTTGCAATTCCAATTAAAATGAGTCTCTACAGTATTTAGAGTAGGGTGAATATCACAAAGTAAAGCGGTCACCAAATATTTGTTCAATAATATTTAATTTGCTTCATGCTCCTGGTACGTTTGTTTTCTGCAAATTATCCTAGAAAATTAGTTTAGTAGCAGGATTGTTTGCACATACAAGTTTTGAGCATATGCTGTAAATTTTTGCAGAGCAAATTTCAGATTTATAACTCTGAGCATTCACATTACGGATCTGATTTTAAGATTTACTCTGATCCAGTCAGAGAACAGAAATAATACCATGTGACATGTGTGTCCAATCAGAAAACCTAAAATATTAAATATTTGCAGTGAACTGCTTGGGAACAAGCTATAGACTAAAAATTTATTGTAAAAAGTTGGCAAATAATTCTAAACAACAAATGAAAAATGCCATCTGTGAAAATTTCTGAACAGAAAGTGGCAAAATATGAGTACTTTATTCATTACAAATCATTCACTTGGCTCTAGTTGGAGTGAAGTTGCTTGGCGAAAAGCATGATTGCACAAAGAGGGTTGGGAATTGACTCATTTCACATAGGCTACTGAACAGCCAGACAGTAACTTTTGGCCACAATCACTCTGGTATACATTAGAACAGACAGGCTAGAGGCAAAAGGCTCTATATACCATTTCCAACCACAAGAGCCACCATCCCCCACTACAGTCTACTTCAAATTGAAGCCAGAAGAGGTTACACTAAATTATTGGTCTGAAAAAACAAGAGGACCATTACACAGGTCAGATTTTAGGAGCAGGGTTGCTAAATTTAGTAATGCTGAAATATTCCCCTTCATTCCCCAGAGAGGAGCTTCGTATCAAGCACCTCGGAGCAAAGCGGCCAAGATCATTCCCATTCATGAGACTTAGTTCTGAAAAACTGCAAGCTGCAGGAGAAAGCACAATTTTCTGTTTTATCCAAGCACAGTTTTTTTGCTTTATCCATAAGTCTGCATGATTTTTCTCCTCACTTCTTATTGTTCAGAGAAGCAAGAACATCAGCATTTTACACAATATAGAGTCAAACAATTACAGATTGCAATGAAAGTGACATTAGCCTGTTTTAGGGGCACTCCTTACGGAACTAACCCCTCGGAACACAACTTGGTGTTGACTCCCTCTATGAACTACCTGGACTCATATTTTAACTTCAGCAGTAGACTATGGTCATTAGAAAGAAAGGGAATAATGGAAAAACCTACTTGCAGAAGCAATAAAAGTCTCACCAACTTTGCAAATTCTCCCTCTGTCTTCCTTAGATTAATTGTAGCTGGAGTTCACACAGCAACTGACATCTGCTACGCTGAAGATTGTATCTAGACAGATTGTACTTAAATTCAAGACAATGATTATTCAGAAAAGCATCTAACACTGGAACCAACTAAAAGTATATATGCCCTGTCCATTGAGCTGGAGGGCCAAATTCTGCCCTTACGGACACATACACAAATCCCATCAACTTCAATGGCAAGTGGATGTATGAATCAAAGGACAGAATCTGGATTTCAGCATCCATTCCTTGTGCTACAATTTAGCCTAGCTGATAAAAGGAGCCTAAACTCTTGCTTGTTGCCAGCAATCAAGAGCTCCCTTCCATCAGCATCTTCGAAGCATAAGGAATTTGGGTTAGCAATAACAAAGTTCAACTCTGCCCCATTTTAAGCATCCCATGCCACTAATTTTCTTGTGTTCCTCATTTTGTCCCCCATAAATTGGATCATACCATGGTTTAGCAGTCAATTAATTTGGGACCTTCACACTGCAATGTTGATTCCAAATGAGACCATAGGACAGACAGCTGTTTGTTGTAAAAGGAACACAGGTTCTGAGGGAAATAAATCAAAAGGTAACCCCACATTTCTACAGGCAGATTTCTGTGTGCATATTCTTGAACTCTCACTGCATGGAACTAGATCATCAACCTCCCTTCTACAGATCCATGGAGTATACAAGACCTTCAGGCCAACTGTAACAAAGTGACATTAAAGTTCCAGAAATGTAGTCCAGGTTATGGATTCAAGGTGCAAAAGCTGTAGAAGTCAGAGAGGAAACTGCTGTATTAGGTCCAATCTATTCCATCCCTCTGTCAGTACAGGATTTTCCCCTGCAGTATAGTCTCCATTGCGTCGTCCAATCTGCTTTAAATGTCTTAAGAAATGGATGTTCTCCAACCATAGTGTCACTGCTTTATAATGTGTGCACAGAAACAGTGAAATGAAATTGCTGAAAATCTAGATATTGTATTATCCCATGTTCAGCACACACACAAAACAAAGTTCTGGGTGTTTATATGAACAGATCCAACCAGTTATCTTCAGGGATCCGTACAGCCAGTGGACCTGAGACTCCACTGCCTACCACCTTGTGTAGTAATTTACATTGGTGAAAAGGGAGTATAAAATCTGTTTAAAATATTGTCAAATATGAATGACTATACAAGATGAAAGCCAATGGAAAAGTCAGGCATTAGTCCTTCTGCCCCTTAGAAGCCTATTTTGAGTTTCATTTGACGGGAACCTAATCCCAGCAAATCTGGTCTGATTTATTGCATTTTTTTTGCATAGCGTCAACACAAAGCTAGGTGAAACTCAGTTTCAAACTAATTCTGCTATGAGGTGTTTTGAACCTAGAACTCAGAAGATGCCACACAAATTTAAACTGAAGAAAATGTTCACACAAACTGCTGAATTTTCCAAAGCTCTGCATAAAACACAAGCCTAGAAATCTGCAAGTACTATGTTTCTATTATTAAATCCAAGCAGAAGGAAATTAGGTACACTGATGACCAAAAAGCATAGGAAGACACTTTGATCCAGTTTTTACCATTTGCTCTGTACAACTCTGTCTGTAAACCTATTCCAATTAAACTTTGCCATTTATCAACGCAATTATCATAGTCTAATCACTATGTAACACAAGATTTTTTTTTTTTAATCAACTGTCACTGAAAATTCAAAGCCACATAATCTTGCATAACTGTGCCTCTTGGTGAATATATAGAAATAGCTTGAAAATGGAATCAGAATAAGTGTGAGATTATTATTCTGCAGAGATCAATAGTGGCTAATTATGGCTAAACCTATGCTGCAATCAGAAGTCTGACTACAGTACATGTAGACATAGCCGGGCTAGCTTTGATCTAACTAGCTCCAATAACAATAGCAGTGAAACCATGACAGCACCGGGCTATACAAGCCCATCCAGAACCCTATTTACTCAAGTGGCTAGCCCATGCTGCCATGGCTTCACTGCTATTGTTATTCAAGCTAACTAGATCAAAGTTAATTTGGGTATGTCTGTATGCGCTGCAGCGTGGCCTCTGATTGCAGTGTAGACATACTTTACACGGTGGAGTGGGCAAGCACTCTGACCAAGACTACTTTTCCCAAGGATTTATTCTTGAGCCTTGGGGCTTGTCTACACTGGCTCTTTACAGCGCTGCAACTTGCTCACTCAGCGGTGTGAAAAAACACAACCTTGAGCACTGCAAGTTTCAGCTCTGTAACATGGCAGTGTAGACAGTGCTACAGCACTGGGAGCTGCATTCCCAGCACTGGGAGCTACTCCCCTCACGGAGATGGTTTTTTTACAGCACCGGGAGAGCTCTCTCCCAGCGCTGGTGCCACGACTACACAGCCACGTTAAAGCACTGCCTCGGCAATGTGCCGCTGTGCCTCCAAACCACTCAAAACAAATCTTTAACTTAACAAAACACTGGTTAACTGTTTTGTTCACAACATTTTCATGTGTAACTGCACTATCTTGTTCTGGCCTGCACCAGAAGAAACTAAATACTTCCTCAAATATGATACTTGCTAGATTTCGAGCCAAGTTTTAAAGTCCCCAATAGTTCAGAAGAGATTTGGATTAGAGATGGGCTCAAACCAGAACACTGGAACTAACTCCTCCCCCCTACCCTACAAACTGTGTGAAGGTTCTAATCCAGAACTCAACTTCTGACATTGGGCCCATCTCCAGTTCAGATAACGATTCAAACTTTCAGGTGTTGACCCAAACTGAATCTCTGAACTGTATGCAGTTCACTCATCTCGGATGCAAGCTTCAGGTTTCACAAATGAATGGCTGAAGGCAACATCTGAAGCCTGTAGAAGAGAACAGCTTTCATCTCAAATTCTCGTGTAAATAATTAAATGCCAAAGATCTGCATAAAATGAATAAAAGTGGCCTTCTAGCCTAGTTGTGAACAACAGAACATTTCCTCCAAGCAATCTAGATTCTGTCTTTCTAAATCAGCGTCATGCATCCTCCACAGGGGCACAAACAAAATTTCAAACAAAATTAACATCACAAAAGAGGCACAAAAACATGTCATATTTGAACAGTGATGATGACAAGTTTTTTAGGAGGTTTGGGTTGTCTGGAATAGGCCATTACTACTGGTTAATAGTATCTTACGGATAATAGGTGGACCTCTCTGCAGAGCTTATTGCATGACCAGAATTTAACCATGTATTTGAAAGGCATGAAATATTAGTTAGAACCATCAGTGCATCATGTACATGTGCATATAAAAAAATAATCTGCACAAATTTGCCTTAATCTCTGAGAGACCTTCTAGTGTCAGATGCAATCACAATAAATAAAAATATACTTGATTGATCCAGAAGAGAGTGATGCTGCAGAAAAGGCTCCCAATGTGGTCATGGTGCCACACCACTAGAATACCACCATGTTATGAGCGATAAGTAAGGCTACGTTTTAGTCCTGGGTATTTTTAGTAAAAGTCATGGACAGGTCACAGGCAGTAAACAAAAATTCATGGCCCGTGTCCTGTCCATGACTTGTACTATATACCCCTAACTAAAATTTGGGCCGGGGGGCCACGGGTGCTCTGGAGAGCTGGTCAGGGGGCACCGCAGGTGCTGCGGAGGGCGAGGGTGTGGCCCAGGACCCCCACTGGTGCTGGGGTGACGTGGGTGGTGGCGCACAGCCCCGGACCCCGGCTGGTGCTGGGGAGAGGGTAGGTGTTGCGGGGGCTGGCAGGCTCCCTACCCGGCTCTATGCAGCTCCCCCGAAACGGCCAGCATGTCCCTGCAGTTTCACCTACTTGTAGGGGGAGGGAAGGCCGGGGGGGCTCTGCGCACTGCGCCCGCCACAAGCGCTGGCTCCGCAGCTCCCATTGGCCAGAAACTGCAGCCAATGGGAGCTGCGGGGGTGGTCCCTGCAGTCAGGGGCAGCGCACAGAGCCCCCAGTCCCCCTGCCTCGAAGCTGCAGGGATACGCCGGCTGCTTCCAGAGAGCCCCTTCTCCTCCCCCGAGATAAGTGCTACCCTGCACCCCAATCCTCTGTCCCAGCCCTGAGCCCCCTCCCACACCCAAACTGCTGCTGCTGGCCCAGGGGCTGCCAAGCTCGGGCAGCCACTGACCCAGGCACACCAGCCACTGCAGAAGTCACGGAATCCGTGACCTCCGTGACAGACACAGCCTTAGCAATAAGTTATGGAGTCTTTCTGGTGCATGTGTAACCATGTTCAAAAGGGGGTCTTAGTTGTACCACTTCTAAATCGCACGGCTTTCTGCAAAACAAGATGCAAATCCCTCTGACTGGGTGCCCCCAACATCCTCCTATCCAACACAGATACACAGTTGCCATGTGAGTAGAAAGATGACCAGAGTGCAACAAACACAGCATTAGGAAGCAGTCACCGAGGCTCTAGCTTGCAGATGGATGGGGAAGGTGCATGGAGGAACCTGGGAATCCTTCTCAAGTGAAAGTGAATGCCAAAGTTTCTCTCTACTGCTTTGGCAACCCTGATAGGGGAAGCTAAAAAGATGATCTCATCATTTTAGGAAGCTTATTTATAGGCTACTACAGAAAGAGGAGATTAAATTCCTCCATGGTATATCTCCACTGAGCTTAGGAGTGTCACACCAGGAAAGATTTTGTTCCAAAGAACTGAGGTTAGCAATAAGTGCATTACATGAACTGTATTATACAACTATGAAAATGAACTATAAATGCACTAAAAACACATTTGGGAAAATTTTGGAGCTGACAGGAGATGGAGTTTTATTATACATTACGTGGAACTTCTAGACAAATTGTGAAAGGAAGCAGCTTCAAACAACAAATGCAGTAATTGTGCTGAGCAGAGAGAAGGAACAATCTGACGCACAATCTCAATGCCTCATCTTCATCTCATGGCTCTGGATAACTGCTTACCACCTACAGATCCACCTTCATATCATCCTATATCCTGTCTCATTCCTCACATTCCTTCTTAACTTCTCTTCTAATGGAGTCTTCTCTCACTCTCCACCTCACACCTTTTTCTGTACCAAGAGTAATACTCACAACTGTCTTCCATGGCTCCTCTCTAGATTACCTATGGGAGGTTCCTGGCTGAGTCTATCATGAAGAGGTGATGCATCAGCGTATGAGATATCTGCAGGAATTATTGGTCATTTTGCAGCTAAATTGGTAATAGTCATTCTGTCATCCATGGAAAACAGTTGTCACTCCGTGGAAAATAACTTGAATTCCTTGTTATTCCACTTACGCAAGAATACACAGGTCTAGGACAGTGTCTTGGAAAGGATCTTTTTTTTGTTTTGTTTGAAAGATTTAATTAAAACAAACTTGCTTTCTTCTTACCACCAAAGTTTATGGGCGCTCTTCTCCCTCTTTTGAAATCTGAGCATTCCGGTCATTCTTTTTAGCATGCAGACTGGTTCATGCATTCCTCTGACCCCTAGAGCAATATAAAATTCTGCAGAGATTAATGTTGGCAATATAAAATGTTTCTAGCCTTTATGATTTGGGGAAAAATCTCTCAAATGTTATTTGATGCAGTGCTATCTTCTAGAGCGTGCAGATGGTCTGTGAAACACTTGCTCTCAGACATGTAAACTCAGTTTAGCAGGAAGTCAAAGGGTGGTAATTTAAATGTCAGTTTTGTTAATTAGAGTCCTGTCTACATGAGGACTACCTCAATGTAGTTACACTGGTGCAAATCCCTATTGTAGATCCAACTCAGTAAGTGGTTACCATCACTAAATTCCATACATGACAATGGAGTCAGGAGAATCAGCATGCCCATTTATGTTACAAACATAGGCAGTTACGTAAATTGGGTGCAACAAAGTGGAACACTAACCCAGATCCAAAATTGTGCCAACGTGTAGTGCAGATAGGACCTTAGCCCTATTTTATAACGTGGATAAATGCATGGTCACATCTGGTAGTCTTAAAGGTGCCACAGGACTCTCTGTTGCTTTTTACAGATTCAGACTAACATGGCTACCCCTCTGATACTTAACATACCAGGTGTCCGCTGTTTTTACAGATAGTTCCTCAGATGGCTCTAATTTTACTTCTTAGCATCTGAGGACCTGGTCAAACTAATTTATCTGCAAGCCAGGATTAAGAGTAAATTAGTTGAATGATTGGAGAATAAAAACTAAATAAAGGGCAAGAATTTAAATGTTTAACTGAAACATGTATACTGCAAAAATAAATAAAAACAACATCCTTCAAATTCATATAAATGGCAGGAGTCCTCCTACCAATGAAGAGACACCCAGGTAAATCTGAACACATTATGCCTTGCAAAGGCTGCGCACAGAGGGCAAAGGAGACTGTTAGATAATAAAACTGCAAGTCTGGCCAATCTAGGCCAGGAGGAAGATATTTACCAATAATTGATAATTATTTTGCACCTTTGCAGGAACTACGGTGCTGCCAAAATCCAGAGATGGACCTTGGAGCATCCAGATGGCTTTCATGCATTTGTTTCTAAATACAGGCTAAAGAGTGTCTTGTTTTTACAAACAGAAAAAAGCAAAACAAACAAATCTTCAGCACAATGATGCCAAAGCCCACAACCCCCCCCCAACACTTCCAGCGACCCCAAACCCCACAACTCCTCCCCCTCCCGGCCCCTTGCGCTGCGCCCCCAAACCCCACAACTCCTCCCCCTGCCGCCCCCTTGCGCTGCGCCCCCAAACCCCACAACTCGCCCCCCCTTCACCCTCCTGCGGCGCGACCCAAACCCACAAACACGTGGCGTGCGGGCGCCAGCAGCCTCGCCCCCTCCCGCCCCGTGGGCGCGCACGTACGCGTTCCCGCCGCGCCGAGCCTGAGCACGTGGGGACGGCCGCTGGGACGGGAGCGGAGGAGTCGGGGTCGGGGCCTGGGCGAAGCCGGCGTGAGGTAAAGGGCCGGGGGCAAAGCGGGTCGGGAGCTGGGGGAGAGACCATGTGGCTACGGGGGGAAGCAGGGAGATACCAAGTGGGGAGTGGGGGGAGGGCGAGTCTACACAAGGGGTGGCTGCGCGCTCCCGGCCACCCCAGATGCGCGCTCTGGTGGTGGGAGCGCGCGCCGCCGGGGGCGCGCATCCCCTGTTGCTCCGTTAGGGGGCGCTGAGGTAAACCACAGCCGTAGGGCTCTCAGGGGCGGGGTCTGTTTGGGGGGGCGGGGTTTTTGGCTAGGGGTGTCTTTGGGGGGGTCCCATTTGATTCTGGGGGATGAGGGCTTGGGCAGTTTTGGTTCTTGGGGGGTGGGGTCGGGGTCTTTTGTTCTGGAGGGGTGGATGGAGCTCAGAAACTCCAGGAAGACCACTAGGGACTTTGATTTTCCATGGCAGGCAATCAGATACTATGGTGATGGACGGCCCTATAAAACCCTAAGATAGATCCACGAAACAAAACTTCGTCAGAGAGGCTGTTGAACCGTCATTGGTATTAGTGCGGTGGTATCAACCTTGTTCTCTTTTGCACTGCTGATAATTTTACCAAGAACTGCACCTATTCTGGAACTAGGAGTAGGAGGATAATATTCATCATGCTGAACTGAAGCAGTGTTTCTCAACAACTGGTCTGTGGCTCTGGTCACTGAGATCTCCCTGGCACAGTTTAGGAAGGCAGCAAGCAGGTTCCTAATATCAAAAAGATTGAGAAACACTTGACTAGAGTACCCCCTTTGTCTTCCCCATACTTGCATAGAGTTGAAAAGGTCCTTACCCTACACCTAATTTCAGTAGCCCTCTATTCTAACATACATTTCTATTGCAATCCTCCATTGGGTGTTTTTGTTGGTTGGTACTGATACATTTTAAATGTTTCACACAATGAAATTTACATTATAGATTCTTGGGGAGAATCAGTTTTAATTAAACTAGATTCAAGTAACAAGTTTTTGTTACTAACAAAATTGTTCCTTACTTGATGGCTGTCCTGCTCTCTTCTGGGAACTTTGATCTGAAGTGTGATCCAATAGCTAGAACAGAGTCTGGACTCTGCTCCCTGGTTTATGACTGGTTTGCTCTGTGACTTTGGGCAAGTCACTTCACTTCCTTGGCCTTAGTTTCCTTATTAGTAAATTGGAGATACTTTGACCACCATACTGACCTCTCTAACAGAATTCATTGCCGGGTGCATTAGTTAATGTTTGTAAAGCAGTTAGATCCTTGAATTAAATTACTTATTTTATTTTCTGACAGGAATATAGTTGTCCTGGCACTGTTGCACGAGAAGGGGAGAATATACAGCCAGCCAGCTCACAGCTCTTAAAAGCAGTTATTGGTTCTATAAAGTCCACTAACTTAGCTTTGATGACCATGCTCCTAGAGGAAACTTTCGCTACTCCGTGAAGGAAATTTCTGTTTTCAACTCTCAGGACTTCAAGGCCTCTTTTTTTAATCACAGATAAGCAGTGAGGAAGAGACTAAATCTGCATAGTACAAATATATAAAACCGTAAAGGCCCAGCTCTTGGTTCTGCAGAGCTAATGAAGGACAAATTATAGCAAAGTACTCAAGATTCATGATGTTACGGTTACTTGGCAATCACCACCTTTACTGGAGTAACATCAGTCTTCTCTTCAGATAAGTGATGATCCTGGAGCTCCAGATTTCTTAATACTATGAATTGTATTTTCCTGGATTTGGTTTCTTCTCTCACCTGCAGAGAACAGACTTTCAGCCACGTCAAATGATCTTTGTTGCAATGACTGACAGCCCTTTTGCTTGAGTAGTTGGTACAATCTTAGAGGAGCTTATCTGTTCTAGGGGCTGTATAACAGCCTGCTTTCTTTCGATTGGATGGTACCCTGGTAGACACATTAGCAGGTGTTCGTGTTACACTGAAGAGTGTTGTACAAGGAGGGGTGCTTTTATTGCTGTCCTGAAGAAGAACACAACCGTGTGAGCAGGATGGAGCGCCTGGCCTCCTTCAGCAGTAAGTACAATAAATAGAGCTTTACAGAGAGGTCTTAAAAACATCTGCCCTCGCTTGAAGGCTTTATCCTCCAATGAGGGTTGCTGAGAAATAGGGTATTTTGATCCACGCGATGGTTTTGGGCCCAGAACCGTCATAAGATAATTTGATGGGGGCCCTCGGTGGATCAGAGGATTGGTAATGGAAATAGTCTAGTTGAATAAACAAATTAAGTATCCTAATTGTTTATTTAAATATAAAGTTTTAAATATTTATATTTTATCCCACTGAATAAATCTGTCACAAAGAAACCCACCCACCACTACACAACATTTATTAACTCCCTTCTTGACAAACTTAGAGAGGCCAAGGCTTGAATTGGCTATAGAAACAGAACACCTTTCTCATCCCGACAGACTATTGTTTTAGGTTGTTTTGGGGGCAAACAGATAGGACAGCTGCCACTTCCTGTGCTGTGCAGTCTCCCTAGATAAATATATTACTTTGGTCTCCTGGTCTGTGATTTAACCAGCTTTCAGAAGCACTGAATCATAGATACTAGAGTTAGAAAGGACCTCTTTGGTCTTCCAGTCCGTGCTGCTTGCATTTCTGGAGGATAGTATTCATAGATTTCAATAGGATAGACTTTCATTGCATAAGTTTAAGATGCCCAGCACATCACAGCATCCGGCCCAAGTTATGATCTATAATTTCACCATCTCTGGGAAGATGTCAAGGTAAGGATCTCTTTAGCAGCTGAAGTTGGACGAAGAACTTCCAACAGATAGTTGAGGAAGCTGAAACTGCAATAGAGAAGAAAGGGTTACATCAGCTGTAACATGTAAACTCTTATTGCCTAAACAGTTTATTTTTAAAAATGTAATATCAACTGAAGAAACCACACAGGATATAGATACACTGCTAACTTTATTTTAAAAATACAAGGTTCTAGTGGTTATGGATGATTGCGTAAACAATAATATCATGCTTGTGTTGCATTCAATTTCCTTCAGTGTATTTTCTTGTTGATTTCATAGATGACCCTTTTGATAAACCACCTTGCCGAGGCTGCTCTTCCTACCTCATGGAACCGTACATCAAATGTGCAGAATGTGGGCCTCCTCCTTTTCTCCTGTGTTTGCAGGTAAGCTGAATGTAAAAGTGGAAGTGTATGCCTTGTTGAGAACCAGGTCATCAAAGCTATTTCTAATGATAAACCATTGCCTATCACCTTTTAGTTACTAGTCCGTCTCGTATCAACTCATGTTCATCTGACAAATATTTGCTCAGAGACAGGGAAATGGTAGAGAAAATGTTGGAGGGTGGGAGAAATGTGGAATTCAGCATGAGCAGGTGAAGGAAGTCTTTGATTAGGCACCCATGGACACACAGAGAGAAAGACATGGTGTAGTGGTCTACACAGATAGACCATACCTTTTATATCTCAGGTCTTATCTAAGCGGAATTCCTTTTAAATTGCTGTACATAGCTGTGAACCATCCTCAATATAGTATTAAACTGGGAAAGATGGGTGACAAGTTATTTCTTCCTTTAACTAAAGGGAAATTTTATTCTTCTAGTACTTTTCTGCATATAAATGTCTGTGCTCTGTCCTCTGGAATGAGCCACTGTGAAAACAGTCCAACAACAGATTAACTCAAATTGGGATTTTTGTGTGTAGAGGGGACTAAATCACTATAAAAATCCACTTTTATCTATAAAGTGGACAATTTTTGTTAGTTAGTGCACAATAAAAAAAACCAAAACAGAACTTAAATGTATTCTCAAGGAAGAGGCAGGAAAGTAACATGGTTTTAATCTTTTATTTTGCAGTGTTTCACACGAGGATTTGAGTATAAGAAACACCAGAGCGATCATACTTATGAAATCATGGTAAGTATACAATTTAAATTTATCTTTCTTCATCTTGGGTTTTGTTATCCTTTTATAGAAGTTAGACCCATGTTTACTAATCTCACATTAAAAGTCTGTTGGATACATAACCTCGTTTTCAGAATTTTATAACTGTCAGAAATCTAACCCAGCAGCAGATTTTTTTTTTTAATTTAGGGTCATCCAATGAAATTATAAGCAGCAGGTTTAATCCAAACAAGAGGAGGTACTTATTTCACACAACCCACAACTAACCTATGGAATTCATTGCCATGGGATGTTGTGATGGCCAAAAGTATAACTAGGTTCAAAGAAAGAACTGGATATTAGCCAAGATAATCAGGATACAATCCCGTGCTCAGGGTGATTCTAAACTCGAACTACCAGAAACTGAGTGAAAGATGGGTGGCTCTGTACACTGCCCCTGAAGCTCTAGTACTGTCTGCTGTCAGAGACAGGATATGGGGCAAGATAGACCATAGTCTGACCAGTATGGCAGCCCTTATGTTCTTACTAAAATTAAAGAAAAAATATCCATATCTAACACTATATGGAATGATGCAAAGGTTTTTTGATTTGTGTTTTATTGTCCATATATGGCTCACAGGCTTTCATTAGAAAAATTGGTAGACAGTTATTTTATCATATGGACAAATTGCTTCCTCCCTCCCCCAGTGAAAAAGTTTAAAGAAACTTCTTTTAAAAAACAATTTAGATTTCATTTCATGACACTATACTTCTTTGAATTACAGCTGGTAGAT